TGCTCACAGTGATGAGTTTCCTTACTACAGAGATGATTCCCCTGACGGTTTCTTTTCATCCCTGCTGAAAAGAGAGCGAGTACTTCTCTGTCCTTGCAGGGTGGACACCGTAATTTTGAGTGCTCTTAACCTTGCCTGGCTTTGTTGAGATCGGGAGTCTTTCCTTTGCTTCTCTTGAACACACTGCGAGAAAATGGAGTGTTTAGAATTCATCGCCGGTGCCTGTGTGGACTTTATGAATTTGGGGACTTGGGAAAAAAAATGCCCCCTAGCAAATTATCACCCCACACACAAAAAAGGTGGATGAAAGTGCTCCGGTGTAACCTGAATATGTCCTATCGGCTTTGATTTGAAAGCCTGTCATGGGGCATAGAAGTCCCCTAGTCTATTTTCACCTAAGGAACAGAGAGAGGATTTCAGTGCTTAGGAGAAAATAATACAAGGACTGATTGAATGTGTGCTCTGCAGTTCAGGGTGAGCTGTGGCCACTAGCAAAAAGTTTGATTCCATTTGATCAAATCAGGTAAGAACAATGGCTGAAAGATTAACTTGAAACATGACCTCATAAGGTTGCAGAATAATTCCCAAAGTGCTTTTTTAATATCCGTTAATCTATCAAAGCAGTATGTTGGAATTAAATGTATACTGTGGCACCTGACTGTGAAGGCCGGGCCAACATATGTGGTTTGCTTTGTCTTAAAGCCAATATAAAAACTGTTGTCCACATTTATTAAAGAATTGTGCAGGAAACCGTGCAGGTCACCTACTGGACATTTGTTACTCCAGCACTGTTTACGAAACAGTGGGTGCATGTTTGCCAGGTGTACATTTAAACAGCAGGTTCCACACACAAACTGTCTGGGAACAAGCCGGATGCCAATTGCGCTTCGCAAAGTGGCACTTCCTTCCTCTACACACTCCAGACTACGCGTTGAACTGCTGCCTGGCAACCATCTGGAAGGGACCCAACTGTTTTGATTGTGTGTGGCCGGGACAGCGCGGGTGTGGGATTGACACTCGTGTTGGGTGCAAGTGTGCGTAAATGATGGACTCTTGACAGCCATAAATTCTCAGCGTGTACAGTATTGTCAGGTGCGTGTTGTGTGTGGCTATTGTACACGTGGGTGTGCACCATGCATGTGCGCCTGAATTCAACTCCGGTCTTGTTAGGGAATTCCACACCACATTATTGGGTTGTCTTGGTGATTGTATGGCTTCATTCCCAGACTGGATCCCAAGGGATTAAAAGAAAAGCAAAACTCCTGAATGATCAGTCACCAGTTAACTCAGCTAGAGTGACACTTTTACAGTCCAGTGCTGAAATTATGTGAACAAAGTTGCTCTATTAAAAATGCATATTTAAGAATATCAAAGGCCTACATAACTGAACAGAAATGGAATATTTTTGGCTTTGTTGAGTTTGTAAAACATTTATGGCCCCAGCCAGTCCAGTGAAATGACTGTGTTGTATTTAAAAAACCAGATATGACGATATGAATAACGAACACCCAGCAAATTTTTGCGGCTCTAAATGCAGCTGCTGTTTTCTTTCTTTTTCCCTTCTTATGATCAACCCCTGATAAGAAAACAAAAAAGAGGGGGCTGGATGAAGTCCAAGCTGCTGCCCTGGTGACGGCCAGGGAAGCCATGGCACCAGGGCCGAAGGTGATGCATCAAGCTCATCCTTGCAGGGAGGCGGTGGCGAAGCACAAGTAAACACTCTTAAATCATCGTCCTGGGACACATGAGGGGAGAGTGGGGGGTGGTGGGGATGTAGCGAGGAGAGCGGAATGCCACATGACCCCCCCCCACCCACCTCCAATCCCTTCTGGCTCTCCCTGAGCAGGCATTATCAATGGTCAGAGCAAAGACACAAATCGCAGTCCAGGTGAAACAGCTTGCAGGCCTTCATTGCTTTTTCATCTTTGGTAAAATAATTGCAAATTTGACAAAAGACACAGGGATCAAAACTGTGTAGGTAGTATGAATCTTTTCCTGCGTGCGCCAAGCCAGATTGTGACAGTGAATTAGCGAGTAGTAAGTTATCATGGTAACACTTTTTCATCAAGTCATCTGTGGGAGGCAACAGTTATAGTACAGGGACTGTATACGAGCAGCAGTATCAATTACTGTAGGTGGCTGTTGTCTGATTCAGCTCCAGCACTTCATAGAAAGAAACTCTGCTTTCGAAGTTTCATCCTGTCCCTATTAATTCGGTGCTAAAGGAGGTCCTCGTGCCTGCTGCCGCTGAGCTTGTCCGAACAGGCAGCGTGGCATTTTAAAGAAAACCATATCCTTGTAAAACAAGAGTCACATAAATAAATGCATGGCACTCTCTGCTGCACAGGAGGTCTTTAGCATCATGTTGTTGCTCTCCCACAGAGATTTAACATACCATATGATCTCAGGGCTTTTAAGTCACTTTGCAGCCACACAGGCGGCTGAAAAAACAGATAAATATTTTTCAAGGTGAACCCAGATAAATGGAGCACATTTTGAAACCTCTTCTAAAATAGGACTGAGAACATGCAGCATAGAAAGCAGATTGCAGTGCGCTTTAAAATATATATATATGAAATATATATATGATATATATATATGTATATATGAAAGAGAGAAGAGAGACTTATAATAAACAGCAAGTTTATGCTAAAAAGAAAAAGAAGCTCCCTACCCCCCTCCTCCCTTACAGCCTTCTATCTGCGCTCTCTGCTAACACACACACACACACAGCACACACACTCCTCCCTTAGCCTATATAAGCAGACAGCAGCTGAGCTGACCCCCTCCACCCTGCATTCTCTCCTTTATTAAACATACAAAAGCTGTCTTTGCAGCTTTGAAATACATGTGGATATGTTTGTTGATTTCTTAGCAAAACTTCAGGAAGAAAACATGGTCTACTTCTGCACAGATAGTGTGAGCAATATGAGCAGAAAGCCCCGCATTGTAGAGAGAAAGGGCTGAGCAGAGCAGGGCGCTGCTGCTTCCCATCCCCCACATTCACATAGCAAAGTTCTGCTGCTTTTGCAAGCGGCAGTGCTGCCTTCACGTGCTCCACGTGAACGCTGCGAATGCACAGTGTCGCAGCGTTCAGGCGCTACAGCTCGGAAGTGAACGTTATTTTTTCACAGTCTTTTCACTTAAAGTAGTGAGCATTGCGTGTTATTCGATTATATGAAAACGAAAATACTGTGTTGTCAGGCTTGTCTGGTTTTTACATTCAAAGCAAAAAGCACGTGTAATGCGGTTAAGTACGTTATTTACGTTAATGTGCGCTACATTATTTAACGTATAGAAGGAAGGTGTCGTTTCGTGTGAAACAGTGAAAAACATTATAAAATGTTGAGTTTCCTCAATTTTGGTTATTACTTGTAGTTGTCTGTAGAGTAAACCAATATTTTTTTTTCTTTTAGCTTGTGACCTGTGCGTACGTCTTTGCTTTAAAGTCTTTGCTTTGCTGTTTTGTTTGTTTGTTTGTTTTAAATCTAATGAATTCGACACTTGTTTCCTGTAAAGTAGCTAATGTCACCTTAGACCTATTAGAGCAGAATCTAAAGTGCTCCTTTCACTCCCCTGACATTTTTGTTGTATTTATAAAGGAGATTTGGCACTCTAACCGCACTCTAGACAACATTAGCTTATGGCAATTAAGATGTTAAAACATTTTATACTCTCTTTCATATTTACTTAATTTTTCACTCCCTATAAGTCTTTAATAATAGACTAGGTGACGTTGATTAGGAAAATTCCGACAGCACATGAAAGCAGCACGAGGGCTGATGCTGCTGCTAGGAGAGCGCGAGGCAGGCAGGCAGAGAACACGAAGAAAAAGGGGGTGGGGAGAGAGAGAGAGAGTGGTGGAGAGACTTAGGGTGTCTGTTCCTGTTAATTGTATAGGGCTACTTCATGCTTTCTCCAAATATGTCCTGTCCACTGTGTGCTGGAGTGAGGCTCGACTCCTACATGATATGTTCAAATATTCAGCGGCCCTGTCACTTTTCCCACCATCGCTGTTTCTCATTTTCTATCTCCACTTCCTGGTCTGAGACTGGCTCAGTCCATCCCCCATTCTTCTTCCTTTTCTGCTCCCTCTCTCTCTCGCGCGCGCGCTCTCAAACACACACATGCGCCACAAACATGCACAGGTTGTAATTTCATGCTTTCCTCCACTTTCCTCCGCTGTACCCACTTCTCTCATTTGCTGTTGTAGACACATGGAAGCAGTCACTTCCACCCATTAGCACACTCTTATAGAAGATGACATTGTAGCCTATTTTGTTCCACCCCTTTCACCAGCTGATAGAAACCCACAAATGTAACAGAAGCGCTCACAGCTTAAGCACGAACTGCACAGTTGTGGCTGAAATAAAAAAAAAAAAAAAAAGTAGTATGGCAAAAGAAGGGACGGCAGAAGTGTTTTGATAACACAAAACAGTCAGTATTTAGCAGTGAGATATATAAAGAAAGACCATGAGCACCAAGCACGTGGCTATTTGAAAGATATTTGAAGTAAAAATGAAATGTGGGAAATTCTGTTTGTATTTGTAACGACAAACAGAGCTATTCAACATCTACTTTGTAAAGTTACGTGTATCGTAGCAGGTAGTATCCCCAGTATAAAAGCATACAACTAAAATCGTGTTTTATTTACTAGGATTATATTATGTATTATATTATAACGCATATTGATGAATTCCTATTTAAAATAAAAGACAGCACAGAGAATTAGTGTAACTTATTTTCTAACTAAACATATCTCCAGGAGACATTAGCTTTTTATTAATTTGCGTCATTTAATTACCCTCTGTACGACTGGCACTTTATGCTAACAAACACCGCTTCTCGAATACGTCGACGGTTTTATGTATGCGCTCAGTTCAAAGCGTATTAGACCTTCAATAACGGCTCTCCTTGTGTATAAACAACAGGGAACAAGCAGTCCGAATCCAGTTGCTGTAGATTCCGCTCCGGGTTTTTATTTTCTCGCGACATGTCGGTAAGATGGCTGTATCTCGCGGAGCCTCGTGCTGGTTTGGTTGATTTCTAGCTCGCGCTCTCGTTCTGTAACAGAAGGCCCCCCTCCAACACACACACACTCACTTGTGTCGGTTAAATTCACTTCCCTGGCTCTGTATTTATACATTTTTTCTTTCACAAACTTTCCCCTCTCTGTTTTAACTTTAAACGGAGTCGCGGTGGATTACCGGATACCGGTCCGGGCGGAGGGAAAAGGGGGGAATGAACCGGGACAACGGGTACGTTGTTATAAATATACTTGTATTTATATTCAATGGTTATTCGAAGTTTGATTGTGTGTGAGTCGCCGTGCTGAGAGAGAGGCAGAGAAAGAGTGGGGGAGAGAGAGAGAGGGATATCATGGCCGCTCAGGTCGCTAGCGTCGCCACTCTCAACACTAGCCCGCCATCCGAACTAAAAAAGCCGGATCGGGACACACAGGAGGAGTCGGTACCGGGAGAGAAACAGCATGAAAATAAGGAACCGGGACCTGACGGCGGATCTCCTGGGCAGAAGGAGCTGCAGGACGGGACCGATGCTGGAAATGCTGGGGGAGGAGGGGATCCTGACATGAAGAACGGCAACGGGAATTTACCCAGGGTAAATAATAATAGCAGTAATCAGAATGATACAGGCGGGCCCGAAGGGAATAACCATCCCGGGATGGGACACCACCACCCGGGCCCCTTTCCTCCACCTCCTTACGGTTACAACCAGCACTACACCCGGGCCCCTTTTCATCAACATGGCGGACAACAAAGCCCTGGCATGGCAGCTGCATCGGGGCCGGGCATGATGGACTCTTACCCCCCTAATTCACACGAACACGGCTACCCCAACCATTACAACAACTACAGCCCGTTCCAGAACAGGACTTCTTACCAGGGCCCGGGATACGGGGCCATGAATTCCCCGCGTAACAACCAGCCTCCGGCTGGGGGGCAGCCAGGCAAGCAACAGCCAGCAGGAGGAACCACAGCTATGGCTGCCTCTTATAATAATCAGAGATATAACATGGGAAACCAACAACCTACGTCTACGCCAACTTTAAATCAGCTTTTGACATCCCCCAGCCCTACCAGGAGCTACCCGAATTATCCCCAAGGAGACTATAACAATCAGGAGGGGGCCAACAAGGGACCAGGGGATATGGGCAGCAGTCAGTATGGTGGGGTCCATCCGGCTTGGCAACAAAGGACCCACCATCCGCCTCCCATGAGCCCGGGAAACACTGGACAACCTCCAAACAGAAATCAGGTAAACTTCACTCACTGCACTGACACACTTTGGCTGACTTAAAGTCTCTCAGTCGCTGAGAAAAAGCACTGTAGAGTTGAATATTGCATTGGACCAGCCATTGTCTATGTAGCAAGAGCTCTAAAATGGCTGCCTCTCTCTCTCTCCCAATACCACCCCTGCAATAGTGTTTAGACAGAGAAAGAAGCCGCATATTCCGTCAGAAACAACTTTCCGAGACGTGGGTATCGGTGTGTGTCCCTGCTTGGTACAGGGCAAGAGTTAGACTAAGTAGAGCAAGAGTTAGCGGGGAGAAAGTGTGTGCGTGTGTGCAGGGAGATGAGGTGATATTTGTTCGCGGTATTGCTCTAGCCTCGCTGTCAGTGCTGTAACCGCTGTCATTTCTGCGAGAATCCGCAGCGAGTCCGGTTCTTTTCGGTGCCGAGCTCCCTCCGGTGCTATCAAAAGTTGTGTCAGTGGCTGTCGAGGCGATAAACAAGACGCAAATGACAGCGATAGCCGTTAAATAATATTTGCATAATCATTAAGAAAAAGAGCGCTGTGTCGGTTAAAAAGCCGCTGCAGGCCGGAGTAGAGATGTGTCTCAGAGTCGGGTGAATGGCAACAATTCCATCCCGATAAAGTGTTTACTCGGATCAAAGTGTGATTGTGACCGCGATTGATTCGTCTCGACTTGAGGGTTTTCATTCATTGCGGGATCGGTTCGACTCGGTTCGCTGTCTTTTTTTCTCTGCCTCTTTCCTCCATGTGCCGCCTGTAAACACGGCCCCGGCGCTCGGAGTTGGCAAAGTGCAGATTGCCTTTGCTTTGGGATTTGAATTATGGAGGTAAAATCCTGCTGTCAGAGCCAGGAGACAGTTGGTCTTAGGTTGACATGCGAGCCGAGATCTGATTGGCTCCCCCATCCCTCTGCTCTCGGCCATTTATAATTGCATCTAATGGAAGGCTGCAGAAAAACAGCCCCCTCTGCCCAGTGTTCCTCCACTGCGTAAAGAAAACATAGTCCCTGCCTCTCTTTTTTGATTGTTTTTTGCTGTATTTATTATCATTTTGAGCGATTTTGAATGCAGCTATATGGTCGTGTAATTAAAAAGAATTGTAAAAACATATTTATTATTCTAGTGGTATCAACAGAAATCTAAAACACAAAGACTACTTATTTATCTGTAAATGCTAACCTATGATTTGGTTGCATTTTATTTGTGGAAGCATTTTGAGAATACAGTTTGCTCAGTTCCTCCCACTGCAGTAATTTGCATGATGATGTAGTGATGTGGAGTCACCGTTGTTTTTATTTGTGTGATTAACCTGGCACGTGCTCAGTCACTGCTTTGCTGTTATTGACCTGGCATGTAAAGTTTGGGGGGGTTTTTTCTTCATTTTTTCCCATTTTTGCTTGTGGGGGGAGGGGGGTACACAGCGTGCACTGCTCCTTCAAGTCAACTGACTCCAGAACAGCAGAGAGAGTAGGTGTGGTCATATAGCCCCTCTCCTACAACTGTGTTCTGTGCTGTTTCCAGATCAGGAGTTGAGGAGACTGGTGTGGCCCTGAAAGTCTTGTGGCCACGTGATGGAGCCTGCCTGGCTGCAGTTGTGTTTACAAGCAAGCAAGGTGTCAGCCAAGTGTCACAGCTTTTTTTTTTTTCCTTCTTCTTCTTCCCGGCAGGTAGCCTAATTTACTTCCACAGGCAGAGTATGTCAACAGTGCTTACCTACATCTTTCTCTTAAGAGATAACCGTCCCTTGTGTAGTGTTTTATGCTACAGTTATGTGTCATAGGCAATGTAGGTAGGTAGAGTTGGATGCATTTGAGAATATTTTGTGGGTTTTGGCTTAATTAATTAAACATATATAGGCCACAGAAGGATGCTTTATCTGTGTACATACAGGATTGCGGGAGGCATTAAATCAAACTCTTTATTTGACATTTGCTTAAAAACAACATTTTTATATCTCTTCTGTATTCTCATTTACTTTCAGTGTCCGTTTTCTCAAAACATTTTGCACGTGGCTTTTGTAAATGAAACGTGATAGATGGGCTGTTTGTTTTTATTTCCCACCAAAAGATGTTTCATCAGACTTTTCATCCAGAGAGGTGAACCCACCACTTGTTGCTTTAAACTTTTAAGGCGACAGCTTTTCACACATTTTGATTGCCACTTTCGCTGCATCCACAACAAGTTAAATTGCCTGCACTTAGAGCCGGATGGTGCACAGTTGTAGAGTGGCTGCAGAAGTGCTCGGTTCAGTGTGTTTTAGAACAAACACCCAGATATTCCGCAGCAATTGGACACGGGCCGTGTTTGCTTATCGCCATCGCTTTATACAAAAAAACCCCCCCACATATTCCAGGACGGATGAGGGGTGTCGCGGTGAGTGCGCCCATCTTTCTCCGGAGGGCCCCTCGCTGCTGTTTCCAGGAAAGTTAGGATGCTCCTTTTTACTTTCAGTTTGTCACCTCCAACATGTGGAATAGTGTCTGTGCCCAGGGACGGCATTAAATTTAGGCAAACTGGGAATTGCTGCTGTCAGGGTGGATGAGTTCAATTTGAGCAGGGTCCAGCCTTTATTGCTGTAGAGTTGCCATATTTACATCACTTGCATAAATATTGGATGTCGGCAGTCAGATACATGCAGATTACGTTCCTGACATTGCATATATATTAAATAGCACACATCTGAATCCTATCTCGTTTTATTTCTTTTCAGTTGAATATATTTTAGAAAACCTTGCACAGTTTTCTAAGTGTCAGTGTGTCTAAATGGCATTTCTTTCATTTCTAAACTGAGCATTCATCAGGTTTGCATAGTACTCAAGGTGTCAGATTGAGAGTTATGAACTTCAAATAACCCTTTTTTTATATTTTTTATCATATCTGATTGTGTCAAAGAAATGCCCTGCCACCTTTCTTGGAATTTGTTGCTATGTTTGTGGTCGGTGATAGATTGTTAGCACAACATCTTTAACTGATTCAAATGATATTTGTCGGGGAGCTTTAATTAATTATTAAATACGCTGTAGAAGGTGCTCAGCTGTAAATATTTTAATTGCCAAGTACCTTGTTATTGCAGTGTTTCCCACACATAGACTATACTTGGGCAAGCTGCCCAAATGTAGGGTGCACTAGTGTATCTTTTTATTACTTTATCCATTCTTTTTAATGGTAGTGACCAGAGTCACCCTTGGGTAGGGTGGTTAGGTGCCTGCTGTGCTGGTCCTCGATGTCGGTCCGCTGTTTGCAGTGTCACATCCTGTAGTTTGACAGAACTCCACAGTCTTAAACCACACCAGCTGTAGTTCTTGTTTTGCTCTATAGAACCACCATAAGCTAGAGGGCAACTCTAACCAGACCCTGGAGTTTGTGGAGAACTGGTTCATGTTCCACCATGCTTAGCCCACTAAGCCAGCATCAGTAGACCTTGCTTTGCAATCTGCAGTTGAGGGAAACACTGCCTGATATGCTCAGCTGCCTCTCCAGTAAGTCTCAGTGGTCCTTGTTCTGCTCTGGAGGCGTGTTGAATGCTGGACGGTCACTTTAGTGTGAACCTTTGATGCCTGTGCCTCTACTGCACTAAATTGACAGCTAAATAGCAGTGACCATAGCAAACTGTCCAGCCAGGAAATGGTACTGGTCAGTGCTTGTTGGTTAGCAGTAGGTGAACTTTCAAAATGAGATACTGTGATGTGCCTCTACAGCTATATCGGATTTGTGCCGTTCACACGGCACAAATCCGATATTTTCAAATCCGATCTGGGTCACTTTCATATGTGGTACTGAATCGATACATATCTGACGTTTTAGAAAGCGACTGCTGTTCATGTCGCATTAAATTCCATCTTTTACGTCACTGACACAAGACACACGCCAATTATCAGCGCCGGAGAAGACATCGTGAACGCTTCCTGGCCATCCAGTGAAACTGTTGGGAAGACAGCGTTGGAGAAACGTGAACATTTTATTTATACTGTATAATCTGCAGATTCTGACAGAAATCTGCAACTATCCTTTGAAGCACCGCTCCTCTCAAAACAGCAATAGGGATAATTATTAGGCCATATGTAAATAACAAAATAACTTTATAACTTAAAGCAAAATTTGGAAACGTAAAGTCCGAAACAAGTCTTTATATTAAGGCCATCAGTCAAACAATACTGTTTGGTCTGGGTCTAAACAGAGCTCGTTGTCTGTGACTACTTCTTTTGCACATGCGGGCCGCTTTGAGGGTTCACACTAGAGAGCGTTTGCTGTCACATTTTATTTGTAGTGTGAACAAGCAGACAAAAAATATCAGATTTGATCAAAAAATTGGAATTGAGCATTAAGACCTGCAGTGTGAAAATGGGTTTAAAAAATACTTCACATGGATTGCTAAGTGTTCTTTGGTAGCAGTCACCCCCAGTGAAAGCAGTGAATTATCATTAAAATATGCAAACACAAGTCATGATGAGCTAAAATTTGTTAATAGAATGATTTAGCTTGAGAATGCATTAGCTTTGTTTGTGTTTATGTCCTTTTAGCCTTGTATTTTCTCAATTTCTTCCACAGGAAGACTGATGTCTAATCCAATACTTTTCCTTCATTGGATTTAAATCCGTGGATGCTTTTCCAATGGGCTAATGAGCCTTCAGAGCAATTCCTTGCAAAAGAATCCAAGGTTTTGCTGGAAAGCTGGAGGATAATTGAACATTTTTTGGTTGTTAAGCAAATGTAAAGGTAGCAATGACTGTATTTTAGCAGAAGGCAAAAGGGCTTTGACAAACTTATCATTAGTGTAACTGAACTGAGCAGACTCACAGTCACTTTAACTCTACAAGAGTTTGTCTTGATGTCAGTGGTCCAGGTGCAGAGAACACATTACCTTAATGGATATGATCTAAGACATAGTGTGTGGAGGACAGGACCTTTCACTAAGGGCAAATAAACACGTGTGGGACCCAGACTGTTTTCAAATCATAGCAAAGATATGTCACATGAGGCCACTGCTACATGCTTGTTATG